CACACACACACACAATCATTCTGTATTATATTCAATATAATACAAATATTTATTTTGTTAGATATAATAATATTTAATATTTATTTATATTAAAATACATTTATTTATAGGGTTTATTTATAGTTGAAGCAATAATTTTTATTTTTTATAGTTTTATTCAAGGACACATTTCCATAACATTATAAACATATAATATTTTCAGTATAATAATAATTCTCCATATTGTTTGATTTAGTAATCATTACTCTCACCTGTCTCTGCGCCGCCTGCATTGAGTCCATCTTCTCTTTCCAGTGTGCTGCTGGCTGAGGATATACTGGAGGCGGAGCAGTTGTCCTTCTCGTTCACTTCTTCGTTCTGTCGTTCTTTATCACTCAAGATGCCACTGTCCTCCGCTTCTCCATCCGGCGCTTCCCGTTCAGACCCCTCCTCTTCCTCTTCCGCCCGCTCCTCGGCTCCGCCCACTTCCTGTTCAGCATGTATCTCCTCCACTTCCTCTTCCTGTTCTTCTCTGGCTTCTGCGTCTGTCTCCTCAGGTTCTAGATTGGCCTCCACGTCCGGTTCTAGATCATTAGTGTCTGTGGAGAAGGCGGCAGAGACTTAAACTTGGCATATTCAGAATAACACACTACGGCTCACAAGATTGGAATAATTAAGAATTTTCTTTATGTTTCTGAGTCTCTTCTGCTCACCAAGGCTGCATTTATTTGATCAAAAATACAGTAAAAATTGTGAAATATTATTACAATTTAAAACAGCTGTTTTCTATGTGAATATCTGTTAAACTGTAATTTATTTCTGTGATCAAAGCTGTATTTTCAGCATCATTACTCCAGTCTTCAGTGTCACATGATCTTCAGAAATCAGAAACTGCTGAGCAGAAGAGACCAGTATATAGTGTGTATAGTGTGCTTGTAATCGGTTTCAGCATCGCCCTGCACTAATAATGTCCCTCAGATGACGGGCTCTGTAAGGGCCTCTGTGGCCCCGTCTGCAGGCCCCTCACGGATATGAACAGGAAACACACCTGTTTGTGTCAGCACTACACCAAACACACACACACACACACACACACACACACACCTCCTCTGAGAAATAACACACAGCCTGTTTCAGAGCGAGCGAGTGTGTGTGTGTGTGTGTGTGAGTGTGTGTGCGTGTGTGTGTGAGTGTATGTGTGTGTGTGTGTGTGTGTGTGTGTGTGTGTGTGAGGTGATCGAGAGGTCACCGTGTCAGCGCTCATGACTGAGTCCTTTTAAACAGTCAAACAAAGGCACACTGACTTCAGAACAGTTGTTTTTGCTTTGCTTTTTCCAAACACGTTAAAGACTCGACCGGACATGTGCTGCTCTAATCATCACACCTTAAACCTATGATGACTTTCAGATACATATCTACATTATTCTGTGCTGTTATGAGTTTATTATTTATATTTTTATATCAAGTACTGCAGGTAGAACAAATTATTGTCTGTTTGTTTTATATGTTTATTTAACTTAATATATGCATATATGCACAGTTTATTTTTATTTTCATATTTTGGATTTTTCATATTTAATGTAATTTATATTACACACACACACACACACATACACAATTTTAAAAGTATTTTATATATAATTTTTTTAATTTTTCATATTAATATAATTTGTATATTTAACAATATATGCATATTTAATTGCATATTATTTTATATATAATAATGTTTAATTTTAATATAGTAATTTTGATTAACTTTAAATTTTAGTTTATTTAGTTGATATATATATAACTATAATTTCAAGTAAATATGTGTGTGTTTATATATAGAGAGAGAGACTTTCACTACTAAAAAGTTAATAAAGTAAAAAATAAAGTAACAAAATATATTTTATATACCATAATTTAAAGAAAATATATTTATGTGTGTTTATATATATATGTATGTGGTCTTTCACTACTAAGAAGTTAATAAAATAAAAATAAAAATATAACAAAATATAATTTATTATAACCCCTAGAAGAATCAAGCGTCACGCGTGGCACATGTCTAAATCATTGCGTGTTGAACGTGCAAAATTCATGGTCCTGTGAAACACATTTCATCATGATAAACATCCATGACATCCTAAAAACAATCAGCTCTGACATGAATCCAAACTCCTTTAGTGATTAAAACTAGACGGACGGGTCACCGGTTACTATTTGTGTGTTTACTGCATTTACTGCACATTTTTCTCTCTGAAATAATATTACACGATCGCTTGCCTTCAGTGATTATATTGAGCGTCTGTCAGGTGGATTTACCTGGTTCAGAGGGCGGGTACGACGTGATGGGCGTGTCCTGCTCGTCCTGTGATGTCACAGAGGAGGGCGTGGCACTGCGGGATGATTGACAGGTGTCCGTCGGGCTCAGAGTGAGGCTGAGACCTCGAGCCGCTGAACGCATTCGCTCTCGCTCGAACTCCTCCGCCGCCAGTCGCTCGGCCGTCCGAAACCTGACACACACATTCATCAAACACACTGAGTCTCGTCTGGTCTGCTTCCTCCTCTTTTCTCAGCCGAGGCTCTCTTTCGTTGTGAAGGCTGCATTCTCATGCAGCGTGTTTTCAGTCAAACGCAATGGGAATGTTTGGAGGCGAGAGGAGGAGGAAAAATGTGTTTGGATTTGAGGAAAAGTGGGTTAAAAAAGGTTGAGGAGGGAAATCACACACACACACACACACACACACACAAACACACTCTCTCTGTCTCTCTCACACACACACACTCGCACGCACGCACGCACGCACTCACACACGTTTACTTAGCTATCTAAATGGGGACATTCCATAGGCGTAATGGTTTTTCTACTGTACAAACTGTATTTTCTATCACCCTACACCAACTCTACACCTAAACCTACCCCTCACAGGAAACTTTATGGGTGGTTGCTAGGGTGTTTTGAGCAGTTTCTAGGGTTTGACCCTCAATTCTCCATGAAATTACTGACTAAATATGACTGGTCAACTAGTCAGTGAATAAACTCACCTCTCCTCTCGAGCGTGTCTGGCCTCCTCCATGTTCGACACATAGTCCCGACTGCACACACACACACACACACACACACAGGAGGATCAGATCAGGTGATCTGCACATGGTAACTCTGTGTGTAAGTGAGGCGAGAGGCTGTAATGCTGAACCTGTGTCGGTTGCGCTCCTCTCTCTCGATGCGCTGCAGTCGCTCCTCTCGCTCCACGCGCCGTCTCTCTCTCTCCGCCGCCAGAGACTCCTGATGCTGCCGGTACGAGGACGACAGCAGGCCGCCCAGAGCAGGCCTGACACACAACAACCATATTACTGTGCATTGTCTATTTAACTTAATATTTCAATAATTTAACAACATATGGAGATCGAATGTTCATGCTCACATGACATTCAACATGCACAATTTATTTAATACTATTTTAGTAAGTGTTTTGTTTTATTTGTATTTCAAAATTATCAAAATTTATTTTATTTCACATTTTTTGAATTAGTTATTTCCTTTTTATTAACTCATGAATGCCCTGAAGTTCCCTCACAAACTTTGCAACACTGACAGTTATTGAACTAAACTGAATCAACATTGAACTAAATGATGCAAAATAAATATTTATAACAAAAATGTAATAATTATAATATTATAATAATATGTATAAATGTCACTATTGTTTTCTGTAGGGCTGCTTTACAGCTGAAATTGAACGAGTTTCATAATTGATGAATTGTTATGTTTTGCTTAGAATCAGTCTGTATTGTATAAAGCGCTGAGCTCACCTGTCACTGTGTTGTTTGGCTGGTGTGGATGAAGAGCTTACAGCAGAAAACGACCTGCGAGAAACGACACACGGACAGAGCGGGTGTTAACGAAGTCACGTGATCCCTGAAACCGCTGTGACGTCAGACGCTGTTCACCTAAAGCTTAAACATCAACATCACAACCATAACGTGACGCATTCATACTGCAGTCAGGATATCAGGTGCCCAGTGAATCAGTGAGGAGTGAATCAGCAGGTAAACTCTGGCTGGCCTCGGTGGGGTCAGAGACACGCGTGAGCAGGTGCATCATGGGATACGCGCAGCTGAAGCGTCTACCTGCTGCTCTTCTGAGCCGCGTTCTCCTCCTGCTCCTCCAGATCGTAGGAGAACAGGAAGAAGGGCGAGTGCATCAGGTACGGCAGGTGGGCGGAGCCTCGCAGCGGAGGGCTGATCTCATTGGACGGCGGCACGCTGACGGACGAGCGGCGGTGTGCCAGCAGACTGGCCAGGAGCGACGGGTGGGCGGAGTCAGGAGGGGGCGGGGCCTCTGTGGCCTTCCTCTGCTCCTCCTCCTCAGGTGTGTGTTTGCTGCTGTGATCTGATGTGCTGAAGAACAGCATCATGGGTAAAATACACAGGGACTTGTGTTTGCTTTCTGTTGTACGCTCCTCTGAAGTACAGACTGAACGGATTGTCAACACATCCCACCGCTGTACGGCCAGATGAGACGCAAACTACGGTTTCTCGACTGGATAACCAGTCTCGCTAGTAAAGTTTTGATGGATGAAGACTGCAATCAAGGTAAAGACGATTGCGGTGGCGTACAGGAGTCGTACAGTACAGTAAGCACACGTGAGTCAGTTATAATAATGCGTGTATGAGTGCTCTTGACGCACCGATCGCACATTGTATTTATGCACAGGCACAGACATTTCCGTACATTCACGTTGTTTCCACACACATTCACGATAATGTTTTTATTTGTCATGTTTATGTTGCTGTGTTTAGTTATTCTGAATGGATCCGTGTACTGTAGTAGATATATGCAGTCAGCAGGCGGTTGGTAAAGTTTTTTTTTTGGCATCTCCATGTGGTGCTGTTCATTATGTTAAGGTATTATTTTAACAATAATAGTCCTGTGAAATCTGTTTTATTTTGTCCTAAATTATGTATATATATTCCATTTTAATTTTTCTGGATTCCAATTTAATTGATTAAATAAATTGTAGTCAAATGAAAAATAAAAAACATATCTAAAAATTTTATTCATAAAACTTTTACAATTTATTAAATTATTTAAAATTTAACAAAAACAAAAATCTATGAAATCTCTTATTTTTTCCCGAATTCTGTGATTTCTGTTTTAATTTGTCTGAATTCCATTTTAATTGCTTAATTAAACTGTAATCAAAGTAAAACCAGGAAACCTTGTCTAAACAATTGAATTCATAAAGCGTTAAATATTTATTAACTTATTGCAATTTTAACAATAAAAGAGCCCTATGAAATCTATTTTATTTTTTCCAAAATTGTTTTCCATTAATATTTTTTCCAGATTCCATTTTAATTTATTAAATAAATTAAATAAATAGTTATCAATATAAAAATTAAAAAGTCTAAACAACTGAATTCAACCATGTAATAATAATAATAATAATTTAATTTTTTTCTACAAAAAAAATTATATGTTTTCCATTAAAATTTTCTGGATTCCATTTAAATTTATTAATTAAATTCAAAATAAAATCAAATCAAAAACCTTGTCTAAACAAGTTAATTCATAAAACTTCAACAAATTTAACAATAATACAGCCCTGTGAAATCTGTTTTATTTTTTCCCAAAATTCTGTTTTCCATAATTTTTTTCCCAGATTCCATTTTAATTTATTAATTAAGTTGTTATCAATACAAAAATAAAACAAGTTTAAACAACTGAATTCATAAAATGTTAACAATTTATTAATTTATTAAAATAATAATAATAATAATAATAATTGAATTATTTTCCGCAAAAAAAAAATCCATTTACCGGTAAATTTTTCTGGATTCCATTTCAATTTATTAATTTCACTTCATCACAAACCATGTGTAAACAAATTTATTAAAATTTTAACAATAATACAGTCCTGTGAAATCTGTTTCATTTTGTCCTAAATTACGTATATATTCCATTAAAATTTTTCTGGATTCCATTTTAATTGATTAATTATATTGTAATCAAATTAAAAATAAAAAACATGTCTAAAAATTGAATTCATAAACTTTTACAATTTATAAAATTATTTAAATTTTAACAAAAAAAAAAAGCCTATGATATGTCTTATTTTTTCCCAAATTCTGTCTTTTCTGTTTAAATTTTTCTGCATTTTGTATTTTAGGTTTAAAAGTAATTTATCATCTAAAATAGCAGTAATAAAATAAATTCATTAATTTACCTATTTACTTTTGATTTATTACTCCAAAATATTCCAAATTCTATGATATTCTGCGCTATAAATACCATTTTTATGACTGGATTCCACTATTCCATAAATAAGTCCACTTTAATTAGACTGAACTCTTAAGACTGAAATCTTTTGCTGGCTATTTGGAACAGTGTTGTCTAGTGAGTCGTCTCACCAGGTGACGGTGTGTTACGCGTCTCACCTCTCGTCGAGTTCCTGTCCATTAAACGGCTGGAAGTTAGCGCGGTGTGGGGAGGCGGGGCTGAGTGGGGAGGCGTGGCCTGATCTGCCCAATGAATGCCTGAGGCTGCGGCGTCTCTCCAAGCCCCGCCTCTCTGCTCCGCCCACGCTGGAGTGGCGTCTGTCCCGCCGGCCGGAGGACGGAGGCAAAGCATCCTCATCGCCGTCCTCGTGCCGAAGAGTCACCTGCAGGAAGGAGGACGCGATCAGAACCGAGAGATTGGATCAGACATCAGTCAGACAGCAGACCTGAATCTGTCAGACCTCATAGATGTTGAGCTGCTCCAGCAGGTCCAGATCGGTTCCCTTCCGACCCAGATAACGCTGCGACACGCTCTCTATTCCCTGCTCCTCCAGAACATCCACCGTATCATAGAACGAGTCTTGATCGGGCAGCGCCGCCAGCGTCTGACGCACCGAGAGAGAGAGAGAGAGAGAGAGAGAGAGTGTGAGTGTGTGTGAGAAAGTGTGTGTGTGTAAGTCTGAGTGAGTGTGTGTGAGTGTGTGTGTGTGTGTGTGTGAGTGAAAGTGTGTGTGAGTGAG